ATTTGTGACATTTATAATTTATATTACAATATTATAATATATATAATATAAATTTATATTTGAATATAATATAATATGTAATTAACAAATTTACATATATATTATAATATTGCAATATAAATTATAAATATAATTATAAATATCACAAACATATATACACTTACTGACAAAAGTTAAAAAATTTTCAATTTAATTGTGATCCTTGCACATATATGTTCGAAGAACAATTCCTTGTTTACTGATGTATGGAATATTATCTTATTATGCCATTTTTAGCTTCAACCTATGTATCGTAGAAGATAGAGAATATACTAAAATTACCAAACGATTACGTTGGTTCTTAACTTTTGTCAGTAACTGTATATATATATTATTAATAATTAATAATGCCTATAATTAATATAAGTATATAATCCGAGTTATTTCAGTACCCAATCAGTTCTGATAGCAGTTTTATATATTGACGAGAAAGGTAGAAATGTTTTTAAAAATGGACAGTAATTGGTCCAGAGTGGCTCAGGCCCGCGCGGAGGGATTCAGGGATCATGCCCAGACACGTATATTTAAAAAAGAAGTGGAAAAATCGATAAGATAAATTCAGAGAGCCGTCATTTCTTTATTTACCGAGATTTTTCGTTTTACTTACTACCAAACACAGCAGCACCCATACTTAAAGCGAATCCTGTTGAGTCTTTTTATTTCTGATAACAGAAAGAGCCTGTATTACGGTCACCACCGATAACGGATTTTTAATGGGTCCTTCGGACCATAGCACGTAACACTGGCGATTTTCCACTATTCTTATCAAAAAATACATGAAGCATAGTCGAGGATTGTACAACTAAACTCTGCTAATTTCATAACACAAGGTCCCAATGATCCTTTGTGTCGTAAATTAACCCCTTGGCTACTGTGGACGCCTATAGGCGCTTAGAAATTTTGCGTTTCTGATACGGAGGGAGGCTATATTTTCACAAAAATGCATCCCTACTCAAAAGTTCGCCATTCTCGACGCACATCGTAACTTAATTCCTGCCGTATGGTACAACCGGTGCGTATCAAAGTCTGCCGTAGTCAAGGGGTTAACTACGGTCATGCAACGATGGTGACAGGCCTGTTAAAGGTTGCAGGCCAATACCAACCTTCGGACTTCAAGGACCTTCGATACTATACAGGCATCAAAGGATCGGTTTTTAGGTTTAACAGGTCAAGTGCCACGCCGGTTCCCAGGGACCGGGGCTAAACTTTTCGTTCGGGCCCGGCCCAGACTAGGACCAAAAGGTGCTAGCTTTTGGTGTCAAATTCTTCGCCATCTTTGGACCTAATGTTTGGTAATTCCTGTTATAACAATTGGTACAGTATTTCCGAGTTTTATGAACACTTCGCCCACTTGAGGGGAGAGTCTGGGCCTGAACGGTACGGCAAGCAAAACGGGCTGGGCACTTAACGTGATAAAAGGGCCTGCTGTCTCTTGCAGCAGTCAGTCTCTAATCCGGAACAGTATAGAACGCTTTTAACACTAGAACTACCGATCTGTAATATCTGCATAAATATATATGTAAACAATATTAATTAAAGTAATATAATGAAAATAAATAAGTAGAAGTAATACTACTCTTGTCGGAACAAAAATCAATATTAATTTTGAGAAAAGTAGTTGCATGTTTCCAATAATTGCAAAAATAAAAAATCCCAAACAAGTCATTTTGACACCCTTGGTAGTTCTAGTGTTAACCAGTTAGCTGTGATTGACGAGTATACTCGTCATGCGTAAAAGGTAGTGACCATTGGCTATTTAAATTGCAATTTTTGTGAAAAATAAAACGTATTCTCAAATTTCAAACTGTTTAGAATATTTTGGGGCCAGGCCGGAATAAAACAAGCAAATAAAAAATATGAATAATTTGAGATGAACTCATGCGTCCCCGTAGGCACCGGCTGAAACAGCTTATCAGTTCGTATAACGAATCTATTTATGCCTGATGATAACGCTTTTTAGATGTTAGCGTGAAAGGGGCAAAAGCAAAAGTCGGAAAGCTGATTTATGATAGGGTTCCTTCAGGGATGGTCCGCCATGGGACAAAAGCGTGACGCTGACCAGGCGCTGAGCCCATTGATGGCTGCTAGCCTGAAATTACCTAGCTATTTTTCGACGGTCACTAAAATTCATAGATATCCATAAAAACGAACCAATAAGGGAATAGATGTTAACCAAATACGTGAATATTAGTAATAAAATTGTCAATTTTATAAAATAAACTCATCTTTTTGATCCAATATTTTAACAGCGACACTTACTCTGTGATTGACGAGTATACTCGTCATCGCTCGATTTTCGCGACACATATGGGTGCGCGCTCTCAAAAGGGGGCGTCACAGCTAATTGGTTAACCAGTTAGCCCAGGTATTCACTGACAAATCTTTCTAATTCTCTGAACAGTTTCAACCTAGTGTCCAGTAAAGATATTAGTAAATTATCTTAGGCCTGACCCATAAGGACGTGTTTAAAACTCTTGCTTTTTTCATTCTCAAAAGTGTATATATTTCACCTATATTATAAGTAATACTACTCTTGTCGGAACAAAAATCAATATTAATTTTGTGAAAAGTAGTTGCATGTTTCCAATAATTGCAAAAATAAAAAATCCCAAACAAGTCATTTTGACACCCTTGGTAGTTCTAGTGTTAACCAGTTAGCTGTGATTGACGAGTATACTCGTCATGCGTAAAAGGTAGTGACCATTGGCTATTTAAATTGCAATTTTTGTGAAAAATAAAACGTATTCTCAAATTTCAAACTGTTTAGAATATTTTGGGGCCAGGCCGGAATAAAACAAGCAAATAAAAAATATGAATAATTTGAGATGAACTCATGCGTCCCCGTAGGCACCGGCTGAAACAGCTTATCAGTTCGCATAACGAATTTATTTATGTGTGATGATAACGCTTTTTAGATGTTAGCGTGAAAGGGGCAAAAGCAAAAGTCAGAAAGCTGATTTATGATAGGGTTCCTTCAGGGATGGTCCGCCATGGGACAAAAGCGTGACGCTGACCAGGCGCTGAGCCCATTGATGGCTGCTAGCCTGAAATTACCTAGCTATTTTTCGACGGTCACTAAAATTCATAGATATCCATAAAAACGAACCAATAAGGGAATAGATGTTAACCAAATACGTGAATATTAGTAATAAAATTGTCAATTTTATAAAATAAACTCATCTTTTTGATCCAATATTTTAACAGCGACACTTACTCTGTGATTGACGAGTATACTCGTCATCGCTCGATTTTCGCGACACATATGGGTGCGCGCTCTCAAAAGGGGGCGTCACAGCTAATTGGTTAACCAGTTAGCCCAGGTATTCACTGACAAATCTTTCTAATTCTCTGAACAGTTTCAACCTAGTGTCCAGTAAAGATATTAGTAAATTATCTTAGGCCTGACCCATAAGGACGTGTTTAAAACTCTTGCTTTTTTCATTCTCAAAAGTGTATATATTTCACCTATATTAAATTTTATATATTTATTTCTGTCCAACTGAATACGGTTATTTCCTTGCACGCTAAACGCTTTGATTTTCTTCCCGGAATCCCAACACGTTGCAATAATTTTTCAAAAATATCGAAAGAAATGGAGCAAGATACTGAAAAAGCCGGTTAATAAAGAAGATAACCACTCACCAGGGTGAATACCAAGTGCCACACAGGTATTGTCAAAGTCCTTCTGCAGTTGCTGAATGGCCAGGCTAAGGACAGGCTCGATCTGCTCTCTGGTTAGGTCACCGACGCATTCGCCGGCTTCCATGTCTTCCACGAATCCAGTCCCAACGCTGCCCAGGTCCACGGGTCTCAGATTGTACTTCCTTTGAAAGCTGGTATCCCTCAGAACCTCTCTGAGCAACTGATGATCGCTCTTTTGCCCGTCCTTGAACAGCTCCTCCTCCTTCTGCAGAGGATTTCTGACCTCGTCCTGTATTCTCTCAAGTTTCAGAACATTTGTTCTCGCTGCGTCCGCGAAATCCTTTCTGGTACCCTTGAACAGCAAGTTCCTCAGCGAGGAACTGTTCTCGAGTTCCACTGGATCAGGCGAGGAGGAAGTGCTGGACGAGGAGGACGACAACGGTGAGGAGGAGCTGCTGCTGTTGCTGTTGGTGCTGCTGCTGTTGCAGTTGGATCGGGGCTCCTCCTTGAACAGGATTTCCTTCAGCAACGGGTGTCCTTGCACTGCGGTATCCTCTTTCTTCGCGAAGAAGACCGCGTCAAGGCTGTTGTAGATGTCCTCCTCTGTTCTGGGTGGAGTGCACGGCACTGTGCAATCGGTGGAGTCCTCTCTGTAGCCCAGACTCTCGGCCAAGAGTCTGAAACCGGGGTTGTAGAAGCATTATCGGGGTGTTTACTGGTGTTTGATAGGCGATTAGGTGATTAGTATACAGGGTGAGGTTAGATGTTCGAGCGACGAGTGACAACAGTGGTCGGATTTAGTATGAATGTAAATGCAATAACAAAATATGAATGTATGTACAACCCCCTCCCCCAAGAAAACAAAAATATTATTTTAACTTAACGCAACTTTAATTTAACCCTTTTTTATTTATTTTCTTTTTTATTTTTTACGTGGGGGAAATTTTCGAAAGATACCCGACCCCCCTAGGGGAGGGGGTGGTGTTATGCGGGATTTTTACCCACTAAGACCCCCACGATGTCGCCTACCGCGACAGTGGAGCGCCCTGGACTTCGCGAGCGATGAAACTGCCAGAACAATTTTAATTTAACCCTCTATGGGCCCCTATAACTTTCAAGTTACACGCTAATGTATGGGTATTTTATTAAGCACTGCTTTAAACGTTATCGTCTTGATCACTCTAGTTCGCGATTTTTATTTCGATATGTTTATAATTATTTCTGCAATACCTCCCGTGGTTCCATTTTTCAAAATTCTAATTCTTTTTCATTTACCGGTTATTCGATCATGATAGGCTAGGTCCTCTGTGGCCCCCTATGACCTTTTCCCCACAAGATGGCGTGGAAAATTATCTTGTCTATCTATTGCACATTATCTTGGCACAATAATACAAACGTTGTTAATTCAAACTTTCGATACGAATTCGTTATAATAAAATTGTCAAAACTGATGAATTTGTTGCTTGATTTTTGTTGATTTTGTGTTACACACAATTCTTATAGTCAAGAAAAATATATATTCGGTCCATAGAGGGTTAATACATTTCTTCGTCGTCACTTTGCTTGCTGGTTCTTAGTAGAAGTACAATGTTGTACAATGCTTTTTGCAATTTTCTTATCGTGTTAGAGCGAAACCGTATTGTAGGAGGGCTACCTGTACCTTAAATTTGAGAATCGACCATCGGTATTTATAATTTTGATAAACGACGACGGGATATGTTGGTAAACAAATGTCTAGATTTTGTTTCCTCGATTTATGCATATGTAATTATTTTATTTCGATATTTCGTGTAACTTTGTCTACCTTAACCCTTTGCACTCGGCGATTTTTTGGCTAAAGAACAATAAAGATTTTCTTTCACAAAGCTGACGATATTTTTCTGAGAAGTGAAAAGGAAATCGTATGATAACAAACACGTAGAATTATTTGATTTCGATACCTCGCACACAGTTACGTTATTTGAAATTTGACATATTAATGAATATCGAGCTTCGAAATTTTATCAAATGGCGACTGCAGGGCGCCTCTCGAGCGCAAAGGGTTAATATGATTAATATTGGTAATTCATTTTGCAAGGATCGAAGGTAACTTGATGGTTTTAGATATCGTAACTGGTGGAATTAAAATTCTGGAAGTAAATTCTTTGACTGGCTTGTGGTACCTCTTGTAAGTGATAAAAATGTGGAGTCAAGGCTCGACTATGCAGTATAGCTGTAATATATTGGCTATGAACTCTGCTAGAAGGGGTTAAGGTATTCCTCAGTCTTAGTGAATTGCAAAGAAGATTACTGTAATTTATTAATATATCTAATACCAGTAGTCTGTTTTGTGTTAGGGATGGGTTCCTACGGACATCGAAATCTCTTGTTTCCAGAATTCGAAACGCAAATCTTTTTTCGTGATCCTAAATTTTCGGAACGTGGAAAATTTAATAAGAAAAATTGAAAAATGAATAAAATTATTAGATTAGGTCCAGACGGAATAGGCTCAGAAAAAGATTTGAATGCTAGAGTTGTTTTGTTTCCTGTTCAACTATGGTTAATGATAATTTATGCAAAAATCTTATAGAGAATTCAATTTAGAAACAAAATATTATAAAAGCAAATCAAAATCAGTATTTTGAGTTTCGGAGGTTTGAAAGTTTCAAATTAGTAATAATTTCAAATTTTTTTAATTTGAAGAATTTCGAAATCCAATAAATTTAAGGATGCAAGTTCCAAGAATTCAGAGAGAAGATTCGAACCCACCCCTACTTAAAACAGCGTTTTAATTGAAAATGTAATTTTCAAAATTTTAAATCTTTTGATGTAATAAAGATTTCAATAATTTTGAATTTAGAAAATTCCCTTTTTCCGAAATTTCACGAACATTCAGATTCAATTTCTTTCGAACTCACCACTACTCAAAACATCGTTTTAAATATACACCTAATTTTTCAAATCAACAAATTTTTTCGTGTAATAAAAATTTCAACAATTTCATATTTTGAAAATTTCTGTCTTGCGAAATCTTATAAACTTTTAAATTTCAGTTCTTTCAAACCCATCCCAACTTGAAACATTGCTTAAATCGAAAACCTAATTTTCCAAATTTAAAATTCCTCTGTACAATCAAATTTTTAATAATTTCGAATTTCGAAAATTCCCTTCTTCCGAAATTTCACGAACATTCAGATTCAATTTCTTTCGAATTCACCACTACTCAAAACATTGTTTTACATATAAGCCTAATTTTCCAAATCAAACAATTTCTTCGTGTAATAAAAATTTCAACAATTTCGAATTTTGAAAATTTCCTGCTTCCGAAATCTCACAAATATTAAGATTCAAATTTTGTGAAACCCACCCCAACTCGAAACATCGCTTAAATCGTAAACCTAATTTTCCAAATTTAAAATGTCTTCGTGTAATAAAAATTTCAATAATGTCGAATTTTGACAATGCCTTGTTCTTCGAAACTTTACAGGCTTCTCAGACTCGAACTCCAAGGCGCGAGAAATAAGTTTCTAACCCACCCCTACTTAGAAGCTTCATGCTGCACGAAAAGGCAAGTTACATAACGTGGGATTAATTTTTATCAGAAATTTACCTAGGCAGGTCTTCATAAATCTAGCCAACTTTAAACAGCCGGGTTAGACTGACGGAACATAATTTACCTGGACTCTTGCAAGATGGCCAGGAGGTCGAGGCTCTTCTCCCTCTTGACCGGCTGCTTCGCGGAGGGTTCCGGACTGGTCGGGTAGAATTGCGCGCTCTGAGGACTCCTGGGCACGTAGTAGGGACTCGTTGGATACCCCGGAGAACCTTCGTGCGAGTAATTAGGGGACAGTTCTCCACCGGCACCGGGGTAAGGTGAACTCGAGTAAGCTGTAGGCGAGCCGGGTCGTGGTGACTGTGCTTCCTGCTTTATCTGCGCTGGTTTCAGAGTGTTCTGCGCGTTCGCCGCGGCATAATCGTCCGAAAGAAGGGACAAGTCGAATTGGAATGTGCTGTAATCGAATGACGGCGAATAGCCGGCTGCGGTTGGTACGGTCTGTGGCATCTGAAATGGAAATGTGGAAAATAGCTCGTTAGAATTAATCGATTATTAATTATAATTATTTAGTATCGCTTAATAAATAAATAAACGATAATTAATCAATTATTCATCTCAAGGAAGATGAATTTCTTATGCGAGGATTTCGTTGAAAATTATTAAGTTGCTTTCGTGTCAAATTATTATTTCGTTTATTAAGTAAATTATTAAACGATTATTAAGTGTTAGTAAATAAAGAAATAATACCAACAATAAATAATTATTTTAATATCGTGTCACTAATCATATAGTACTTTAGTTGATAAATATAATTATTAAACTAATTAATAAATAAGTAACAATTGAGGTTAATAATAATAAATAAATAAATGATAATTAATTAATTGTTCCTTATGCGAGGATTTCGTTGAAAATTATTAAACTGTTTTCGTTTCAAATTATTATTTCGTTGTATTGTTGAATTTTATTTATTTGAATAAATATATATGTACATAATATTTAATTATTAGTCACGATTATTCAGTGCTGGTAAATAAAGTAATAATACCAACTATAAATAATTATTTCAATATCGTGTCACTAATTATATAGCATTTAGTTGTTAACTATAATTATTGAATTAATTAATAAATACATAATAATTGAGGTTAATAATAATAAATAAATAAATAATAATTAATTAATTGTTCCTTATGCGAGGATTTCGTTGAAAATTATTAAGTTGTTTTCGTTTCAAATTATTATTTCGTTGTATTGTCTAATTTCATTTATTTGGATAAATATATATGTACATAATATTTAATTATTAGTCACGATTATTCAGTGTTGGTAAATAAAGTAATAATACCAACTATAAATAATTATTTTAATATCGTGTCACTAAACATATAGCATTTAGTTGTTAAATATATTTATTAAATTAATTAATAAAAGGAATAGCATTAATTAAGTACATATTATAGTTGTAATTAAATTGTAATTAAATATTATAGTTGCAAATACTTGATAATATTATCAGTTTACAAGAAACAATAATTATAATAACTATTAATTAGTTCAATAATATCGTTGATACCTTTTTATAAAGAATCTAACAAAACCATAATAATTTAAGAGGGAGAAGAATTACTATGTATTCAATACACTAATATCTGCAATCGAATATTTGATGGAATTAAATGTTCTGTTCCAAAATACAATTTCTCATAAAGAATCACGAATATAGTAAACAGTGACGAGTATAGTAAACAGTGTGATAATTATATACAATATATCTCCCAATATATCAAAATTTTCTACAAAATTCTGGCTTAAAAACGTGCTTTAATTCGAAAAATAAATTTACCCATAAAATAATGCAACCGATCGAAATTATCCTACGAAATTTTCACTCAAAAATTATACAATCGATAAGTATTTAATTAAAAAAGTAAATTCAATTTTAGATGAAAAAATAAAGAATAATTACATTGCATTAAAATTAATCCAAGATACGGTATTTAAACCGAGTATTGAGTTAATCTGAGCAAAAGTTGCAAAAATAAGTTCCGAATCCCGATCGCAATCCTCGATCACGAAATTATCATACCTGCGTCTCACCCTACCATTACAAAATAAATATACTCCGAGAAACAATAGGATCTAGCTTATACATATATACATCGAACGGTCGACATCCTTTACGATTGGACAAGAGAAAAAGTTACTGCACAGAATCTCGATGGTAGTTGCAACGCTGCAACATTCTCGCTTTCCATCCCCCAGACGATCCACGATTTATTTCGGCGTGTACGAGCGAAAAGATCTAGTCGAAATGATACAGTTTCTTCGAGACAGCAACGATGGGGCCAAGGGTCCATTTATCTTACCGCGTGTTTATTGCCCGTCCCGTGCTTAAACTCGCGTCAGTTTGTTACGCTCCGTAAGTCACTTGTGGCTTACGGCGATCTCAATGCTCATCTCTGGAACTCGCGAACTGGCCGAGGTCGCGATATCGTTCTGTCAACTGTCTAATTCGAACGTTAACGTCATGATCATTTCGATACGAACGTGTAATTGCGTTCACGGGAATGTTATCGTCTGGGTCTCCTTGAAATTTTTGCACAGAGAAATCCAATTGGAGAAATTTCGAATCGGGCAGAAACCTTATTGGAGAAAAAGCAAATTGGGGAAAAATCGAATTGGGGAAAAACTATGTTGGAAAAAAATTGAATTATGGAAAAATCGAATCGGGGAAGAACCGTATTGGAAAAAAATCGAATTAAGGAAAATTCGAATTGAGGAAAATCGAATTAGGGAAAAATAAAAATGGGGGAAAATCGATTTGGGGAAAACCGTATTGGAAAAGAATCGATTTATGGAAAAATTGAATTAGGGAAAATTCTAATTAGGGAAAAACCGTATTGGTAAAAAAATCGAATTATGGAAAAATTGAATTAGAGAAAAATCGAATTGGGGAAGAACCGTATTGGAAAAAAATCGAATTAGAGAAAAATTAAATTAGGTAAAAATCGAATTGGGGAAAAATCGAATTAGGGAAAATTCGAATTGGGGAAAAGCCGTATTGGAAAAAAGTCGAATTATGGAAAAATTGAATTAGAGAAAAATCGAATTGGGGAAGAACTGTATTTGAAAAAAGTCGAATTGGAGAAGAATAGAATCAAGGAAAAATAAAAATGGGGGAAAATCAAATTGGGGAAAAACTGTATTGGAAAAAGATCGAATTATGGAAAAATTGAATTAGGGAAAAATCGAATTGCAGAAAAACCGTATTGGAGAAAAATCGAAATCGTGGGAAATCGAATTTAAGAAAAATATAATTAAAAAAGAGTGGAATTGGATAAGAATCGAATTAAACAGAAACAGAATTGGAGATTTTGTCTGTTTATGAAATAAAGGGATTTTTATGAGAAATTTGTGGTTGGTGGTTATTGGTCTCGAGGATGTATGAGTTGGCAGGTTTTGATCTTGAAAATTGAGAATCGATAATGGCTATAATTAGACTGCTCGGTACCAATGAGATGATATAATAATGAAAAACAGTAGTGAGTTGATAAATGAAATAAGATTGAAAAAAGAAATATCGATACATGGGTACGTAATTACTAAATCACGTAGCGTTGTACAGGGTTAAGCTTATTGTAGATGCGAAATTTTTGATAAATTTCAACTTTTGCGAGAGTGACAGAAAATGATTATTTTTCGTAAAATTAAGATCGGTTAAAGTTATTTATGTTGCATGGCATACTTTGATTAAGTGAATTATGATGATACACTTATTGCTGTTAATAGTTAATTTGGGAAAATTAAAATTAGCCAGGTAATTTTCCTGGATATTGTAGGATCATTTTAATTTTTATTATTTTTAATAGCCTACAATTAAATTTACTTAAATAAAATAAACGAGTAATTGATGAAATTAGAATTACAATTAAGTAACTTCCAGAATAGCAGGATTATTTTGGATTATATTAGTTTTGTTAAGTGAGAGTTGAATTTAGTTAAATAAAATTTAACAGTTTAAACAAGTAAGTAATGAAATTAGAATTAATTGGACAATCTTCGAAATTGCAGGTTTATAGCAGTTCATATTATTTTTATTAGACGAGAGTCGAATTGAATTAATTAAATAGAATAATTTATACAAGTCAAGAAGCAATGAAAAATACAGTTAGGATAATTAGATAATTTTCTGTTAACTAATAATACACATGGATAGGAGGTGATTCTACATGTAAAAAGAGATATATTTTCAATAACTGTGCCACCATATTTATACCAAATAATTATACTTTCACAATTCCTTGAAATTTATTATATGCAGCATACTCTAATAAATAAACAGTATGATATTGCATAATATAAAATCATAAGTGCAAAAATGATTTAAAATTTGACAATTTTTGACAATCCTTTTTCAAACTAATTTCTGTTTCGCGAATTTTAATGCAAAATTATTTTCTTCTCGAACATTTTGATACTATTCGTATTGTTCCACAATTGCCCTTATTGGAGGCAAGTGCAGAATCATTCAGGATGTTTACAAACACGAATAAACACAATCTGGATAAAAAATCGTATAACTAAAATTTGAATAAAAAAATTAACGAGCAATTTTTTCTAAAGGCAAGTTGCAAAGGAAAAAATTAAAATCATTTCTTCGACTTATATTTACACGTAGAATCATCTGCTTGCTTATTATCCCTAATTACCAGATACCTTGTATGTCAATAAAACAGATGCAACAGAATCAAATCCACTTATCCACCAAGCAGATAGAGAGGCGAATAACGTCTTTCTATAATTCCCACGATCACTTTCAAAAAATATCTTCAACACGTATTAACCCCCACCCCACATCCCACCTCCCACCTCTTCAACCTCATTAACCCTCTACAACTCCATGTGACTTGAAAGTTACTATCGATATCACATTTTTTTTTTCTTTCAGATTTTATTCCAGTTACTTGTCACTTAACTGTGATATCTTCTCAGTTACTGACATTAAATGATTTATCTGGTTCATAACGATTATCAATTTTTGGGCTTTAAATTGATAAAATTTTATACTCATACTGTAATATAATAAGGCTTTATATGTATTTTAATATTATGTAATATATTTATATTATTGATATTAATATTTATACTATTAATATTAATACTACTAATATTTTTACTATTAATATTTTATTATTTTTTTATTATCTTATTTTATTTATTTTATTAATATATTAATATTAATATTAAGCAATTAATATTATTAATATTCACCCTGGAGTGGCACACAATTTCCCTGAGATATTTCAAATTTTCTGTAATTTTCTCCAATTTCTCAAATATAGGAAAGTCTATACAAATTCACTGAAATACTTCCAAATATAAATTTCAAGATTACAAACTTCAAATGTTATGTTAAAAATATTTACAGAAAATTTTTGTTCGCTCTTGCAAAAATTTATAATATGGTATTCAAAACTAGCAATTCTTTTGGAGTCACAAATAAC